CTCCGTGGCATCCCAACAATTACTGCATTCACACACAGAAGAAGGCAATGGCAAATCACTTCTGGATCATCTGCCAAGAACGTATATGAACAGGTCCCAGTCCGAGAAAAGGATGGAAGGATCCTGTTCATATGGACCTGTCGTCAGACAGAACACTAAATAAAAAAATAAATTTGTTATATCTAAAGCAATATTAATTCAGATTTTTAATGTATTTAAACGTTAAGTCGACTTGTAGATGGTACAAGAATAATCGTCATCTGATATATGCCTCTTAGTATATCAGACTGTGAGTATGAACACGTGGATTGACGTCATTAAATAGTTAAAGAAATGTGAAACGTGAGCGATGAAAGGAAAGGTACAGTACGTAACAAGATATAATGCAACCCTTATTAGAAGATTTTTTTATGGCTTGTTGAGAAAATCGCATTTATCTCGCTGACGTCTCCAACATCCGCAATGACGCGTGTTGTAAAATGAAAGACGAAAGAGGCTTCATCTGTATCGGCGGCTTCTCAGCAGACTTTCCAAAGAAGGCGAAGTCTAATTTGTACCGGCTGAGAAAAATCTGGTTCCGTAACTGTGAATTCCGGTTGTGATCCGTTATATCAAGACTTCTTGAGCGGCATGAGAAGCCCCCCCAGGGGGGGGGGGGGGGGCGGGTCCTGGGGAGGAGCCACATAAACGCTGGTAATATAGGGTACCATCTGATTGGCAGATAGTAACAAGTCCTTGTTCGAGTTCACATATGATCGCGTTACAAAGTGTGAAATGTGCTCTTGTAACTAAATAAATGTGATATTTGGAATGTAGTCGCCGCCATCTTAATCCGCTGTTACATATCTCTGACACTTAGGCATACGAGAAGTTCCAGTAATCTTAATTTTGTGAGATTTGTGGGATGTAGCAAGGAGTAATTATTATTTTCGATTTATTTAAAAATATTAATTTATTTAGTGTTCTGTCTGACGACAGGTCCATATGAACAGGATCCTTCCACCCTTTTCTCTTCTCGGACTGGGACCTGTTCATATACGTTCTTGGCAGATGATCCAGAAGTGGTTTGCCATTGCCTTCTTCTGTGTGTGAATGGAGTAATTGTTGGGATGCCACGGAGAAACCGGGGAAGCCCCCGGAGGAAAACTCCGTGTTGCCTAGACCACGGCCTTGCCCAACACAAGTTATAAATGCGAACCCGAGACCCCAGGATTACAAGACCAGCGTTCTAACCGCTAGACCACCACTGAATAAGAAATAGAGAAACTGGGAGAGGTTAGAAAACACGATAGTAATCAGTAAGACGCCTTGCATAAGAGAGCAGCATCTCAAAACTGTCAACAGTTAAAGCAACAAAATTGCTTAAACTGTGCAGAATGAAATTGAATGAGTACAACCGATTTAATGGAAGTTAATTTACTGAGACATTGTAGCGTCTTAAAATGTTTCTTTCGTGTGTAGAAATAATAGTAATAATTAATAAATTTCTTGTTGTTTCAGACGTGGGTCGGACTAAAGACGGTGGCTGCTGAACGCGCGGCATGCTACTACTGAACACTTTTCTGCTAGCCTGTCTCCTACAAAAGGGGGTGAGTAGCTGAGGCTCTGTGGAAAAACCATCACGTTTTGGAGTAACAAAATATCTCCACTTTCCACTTAAAGATTCAGGCAGTATGTTCCTCCGAAACTGTGGTATCTACCAACAAGTCTGAAAGTTGTTACAACCGACACTCCTCGAAAACCTCAAATCGAACAGCTATCGATAATTTGAGGTTCCTACGGCGGTGAGCACGAATATTATAGTGCCATGTAGTATGGTATATGTTTCAGAAGTCATTTTTGCCTCCGTCATCAGGTCGAAGACAGTCATCTTCTTTCTGAACGCCGCGAGAACTTCAAATCATACTTATTAAACCTTTTGCCTGAGGCTACTTGTTACTGCGTTTCGAGATTCCTAACCCTCACTCATTGTCCTGATAATGGCGTTAACAGGGACCTTTGAAACGTCGTTAAAATTCTACCAAACCACACGGCGCTACGACCCAGAAGACAGATAATTTAATTCCCGGGCTCCGACCAGCTGTTCTTTTTAAATAACTACATGAAATAGAGAAATCAGTATTCGCTTAGCTAATCAAGAAATTCTCTGCATTGAGTGGATTCTGAAAATATATTACCGTGCTGATAAGACCCTGTTCCCAGCCACATTAAAGCAGCCTATACTTTCCCAACTTATTATCCGAACATCTACTTTAATATTATCCTCCCTTATACGCCCAGGTCTATTGAGCGTTTTATTATCTTCAGGATTTACAGCTAAAATCTTTTTTATTCAGCCATCTACCTCATGCATGCTACATGCCCGTTGCATCCTCCTTGATTAAACCTGTTCTGACAGAAATTTCGTAGGTTTTTTTTATAATCTCAAGTCAAATGGAATTCGTTTTAAACCACAACAGGCTTAAGACTATCAATTCTTTATCCATAATCGTCGGCACATGTTTTAAAAATTCTTGAGTTATACGTTCCAGTAGCTTGAGCTTTCAAATGTTCGGAGACTTAACCATTTTATCAACGTAACAATCAGGATGGTTTACTGCATTTTAGACAAGACTCTAGTTTTCGTATAGTTGTGAAAGTCTTCACCTCACAGACGAGTCTATTTTCTATAATATACATATACGAGGTGCGATCGGAAAGTTTCCAGACTGCGCGTATATAAAAACCCTGAGATAAGTGTACGGGTTTTTATACGCGCAGTCTTGAAACTTTCCGATCGCACCTCGTAATATAAGATCCATATAAAAAATTATCGAAAAGTCACGTTAATCATATTGAAATATTTATTAAGTACAATTCAGTTGGATTGATAAACACATAATATCGCTGTGACTTTACAAAAACCCACACAGGTAACGCCATTTTGTAAACTTCTCGCTCCATTCAGTGTCGTAGATGTATTTTTCACAAGAGCAATGAGTGTTCACTGTCGAACACTATCCGACATCATCTTCTTACTCAACTTGCCAAAAAGGTCTACAATATTTCATCTGGTGAGACGTCATCGTCAGTGTAGAAACTCTTTATTGGGTTACGTCAAACATAAGGAAAGTGATGTACATCCCAACACTAAATGTAATATTGTTTCTTGCTTCCAATTCAATTTATATTTTGACAAACAGAACATGTCCCACTTCAGGATCATTCTGTATTTATCTCATTTCCTTTCGCCCTGTGTGCCTGGTGATTGCAGGAAAACCTCATGGACAGAGAAATGGTGCCAATTTGTTAAACGAGGGTCTGACATCACTAAGATTTCTATACTGGCATTTGGGCAAATTATATCGATATTTTGATACTTGTATAATCTGATATTTTCTATGCCGATGACAAGGGTTCGGATAATTGTTCATAAATTAAAAATAAACACGCTGGAACATTACCCTTACATAAGCACAGAACGATATATGTACACAGCTGTTTTGTCGATAGGTAACTATACGCAGTTTTATACTTAAAGTAATTTATTTTATATTTTATAACGTGTGAATTTTACCACAATTAACCATATCGGTGGATATTAAATAAGTGAATTTAAACCTCTTTCATTTATTATTAAACTTGAATTTGATTAACGTGATGATAATGTGATTATTTGATTTCAACTGATTTTATATCACAGAATTTGGTATCTGTTATTCTTTTTGCACAAATGTTTATTTCATAAAATTATAACTTGTGGGATTGTGACGACGTGTTTCAAAGAATCAGACTACTACTTTGTATGACGAAGTTTTAAAACTAATATAGCCAAACGTCCGTTCACCATGTTTCTCTAAAAGTGCGCGTCGTATAAACAATTTTAAGCATAGAAATTGTTTCTCATGGAAAGACTACCCCCAGGAAAGGTATTTGCCTTTTTTATATTTCGAAAATTAATCACAGGTATGTCAAATCCCTCTTAGACTGACCTGGGCGCGAACCGGGGCCCTCTGTTGTGAGAATCCGGCAACTAACCGCCTGACCTATACTTTTATTCCTTCCGTAGATTAAATTCTCCTATGTGTAATTGTGTAATGTACAAATTATTTTTATCTCTCACTGTTTCCTGTCATATATTATCGACTATAATTAAAAAATAATTAAATTTAATTATTTTTAATTAGTTTTCAGGTGTCAGTTAAAAGATGAGCGCGCCCTGTTTTTTAGTGTACCTTGTCTATGAAGTTCAAAGGTGCTTGTGCAGTGATTTTTGTAGTCAGCGCAACCGTTAACTTATAGGTCGACCGGACTTGGCGGGAGGAACGTTCGAATTGAGCCTGAGTGGAGGCTAACGAAAGGAGTTTAATTTAGTATACACAAGTCTTAAGTAGCGACTTATTGAAACTGTGTTAATGCAACAAACACGCTAATTTAATAATTTAATCCTAAATTATTTTCAGAAACCCCAAGCGAGGGAGGGGTAACTTCTAATATCTTCCTTTGTTACTGAGCTGCAGAAAACATCTTCACCAGGATTTGAAACCAGGACAGAAATTATTCTTATAATCTCCCCCACCGAGACAAAAAATCTTTCGTCTTGGCCCCCCTTCGTATATCTTGCTTGGTTTCCGAGTATCTTCAATGGGACACGAACCCAGGCGCTTTAATGAATGAATTATCGTGATTTTCTTTAGTATTTCTAGAGATTAAACATTCGGGCAACGACAGTCCCCTGCTATATATTTACCTTCTCAACCATTCACGATAATTTCTTTGTGACTTTGAAAACTAACAAATTTCAATGTGTGGGTCAACACAATTCTTAACCAGACGTAATAGGATCTTTTTATGACCAGTACAGGCAACTCTCGATTTACGAACGAGTTCCGTTCCAAGACGTTGTTCGTTATGTGTATCTTGCATTACTGAGCTTTTACGATACGTGTCGTATACGTTAGAAACCATTTTGAAACATTAAAACCATGTACTAATTATCATACAGTAATTTTCTGATAATTATTGTAATAAATACATTTTTTAAAAGTTTATTTATTTAAATCTTACAATTATGTTCACTATACGAGGTGCGATCGGAAAGTTTCAAGACTGTGACAATAGAGGGCGAACCGGATGTAGTACGAGCTTCTGCCGCTAGGGGGTGCGGCCTACATTCATAGTGAATCAGTGTGCCAGCCGGCATCATCGAATTAGCATTTGTTTCTTAGTTACGGGCGTTTTGGTAGTGCATTACACCGACCCTCCTGCGATTTCGGAATGGCGTGTGCATCAAATGTTGCCAAAGCAACGCCCGAAAATGTTACGAAGATCGACGTCGTACCATCAACGACTTGTGCGACATTGTTGGGATAGGCTATGGGACCTGTCAGCTGATTCTAAAGGAAGAACTCCACATGCGACGCATCATGACAACGCACCAGCGCACACCGCCTTCAAAGTTCGGCAGTTTTTGGCCTCAGACACCATGGCCGTCATCCCACACCATCCTTATTCGTCGTGTGACTTCTTCCTCTTCCCAAAGATGAAAATTCAGCTAAAGGGATGGAGATTTGAGACGATAGAAGAGATTCAGGCAGAATCGCAGATGGTGCTTGACAGGCTGACAAAGAAAGATTTCCAGGGATGCTTCCAGGCTTGGCAGCGGCGCTGGGATCGTTGTGTTCACTCCCAGGGGAACTACTTCGAGGGTGATGGATGCATTTAATACCTGAGATAAGTGTACGGGTTTTTATACGCGCAGTCTTTAAACTTTCCGATCGCACCTCGTACGTATGGCATTTCGTTTTATAAGGAACTCTATCTATTAGCGACTTTAAGAAATTTTGAATGAATTATGACGTTCGTTATAGCAAATGTTCGTAAATCGAATGTTCGTAACTCGAATGTTCGTAAACCGAGCGTTGCCTTAATGGAAGCCATCAGGCCGAAATCCCTAACAGCGTTAACGTGGCAACGGCTAAGATTAAAAAAAATTTTAAGCACAATTGTGAAGGATTTCGACTGTTTTATAACGAGTAGGTAGTTCATACGATATGATACTTGATGCGATGTGATATATGAGACGATACGATAGGTTTCTGCTTACTGAATACCATTCTTATATACGCGCATTCACACACAACTTCCGCGGTAAAAGACACTGTGAGGTACTGAACTACTTATTTGTCTCGCTATGTGAAGAAATTTCAGAAATATTGATGTAACCCAGTTTGTATTTTAGTACTACATCAGTGATGAGCAGTGGATAATGCAACATTTGAATTAATTTTAGGAACGAAAATTATTAGAATCCTGAAGTTTAAAAAGCCCACAAAAGCTGATAATTAACCAATTTTCCTGAAGCTTCGCCCCCTTGTTCACAAGAGCCTGCCATTGGCCCCTTGACTCCAGTCTAGATCTTGTTTTTTAAGATTCACTTTAATAGTATCCCCAACCTTTTCCAATTAAAGGTGTGTACTTAATTCTAATCTTTCCTATGCAAATAGGATTTGAGGTTCTAACGCCGATGAGAACTAGGATGACTGTGTTCTGGGTTGAAACGTCGTGCAGTCTGGTAGAAAGTTACCGACGTTTCAGGTGTATTTGCAGC